TTGCATCATATGGTCATAGATATCCATGGAGGGTCTTAGTATCAGGTCTTAAAGGTATAGTTCTTAATAGCATTACTATAATTGTGTTTAATTTATTCCTGTAATGAGAATCTAGGAAATAAATTTTATGTTGCTAATTTTTGTGTCCAAAACGTTCTACATAATTTGCTTCCATACATAGTACTATATGTATATTAAATCATACAACACATGAATTCATTTTTATATACATATATATGTACTGATATCACTTTGTCACTTCACTGTCATAACATGCCCTCTCATTTGAATTTAAATGGATTTTTCTAAAATGTTTCTAAAGTAGATTATACTTTTGATTCTACAAATAGCAGTTGTGGATTTCTGATATAACAGTGAAAGTCAGAAAGTTTAATACATAATTTTATTTTTATGCTTGTGCATTATTGTAGCATCTGATATAGAACAACTAAGTCGTTTTGCCTCCGGGGGATATTGCGATGATTCGACAATAGTATATTTGCAACATCCATGTGTGATATTAACTGCTTTAGAAGTACTTGGCTATAAAGTTGTGGCGTCTTCAAGTACTAGTGTTAAACAAGATTATAATGAATACATGTGGACTATGAGGAAAGATTTTTCCGAACCAGAACCCGAACCTGTTATCAAAACAGGTATGGTGTCCAATATTAATTAATTTTAACTCAATAAATAGTATCGTGATAAAAAATCTCCATATTCTGTATTCCCCCTATGGGTTGCATAAATTTCGTTATTCATGAATTAAGAATTGTGTCTTTTTCTTTCGTAAGCGTTTTAAAAAATCTGAATTCAGTATCATCAATAAAAGTATAATATTGTTTATTTGAGCAAAGTTTATTTAAATTGATTTGAGGGGAAAGAAAGTTATTAAATATGTATAAAATCGTGTTAAAAGTACTTCAGAGTACGACTGAACGAATAGAAAAACTTGTTTTTATAAATCCGAGTTTACTCTAGATTATTGACGTAATTTCTTTACGTTCTTTGTCAGAGTTCTCTGCTAACGAAACTTCGCACATTGTTGTATTTACATAAAATATTCGTACTTTCTATCAAATTATCACATCATGTAAAATTATTGTGTTCAATTACATTATTGAAATTTTAATCCGCTCGCACATTGCAACGTGAAGTACTTGAGATATATTGGCAGTAAATGTAAATGTAGTTTCAGAAAGGTTATCAGTCTCGACGAATGGCGTTTTAATTTAATGCCAGACGTGCTGTCACATATTGTACTAAACGATTATTTCATCTGACATTGGAGTGCATTATTTGTCACTTGATGTGAGACTTTGTTTTTCCATGAGTCAAAAACAGTTTTCATCGACAATGCGAACTCCTATTGATTACATGCACGTGTAAAAGTTTAATTACAAGTGGTTGCAAATTAACTTGTTCAAGCATTCTCCATAAACTTGTGTGGGATTTTTGAACATTTGTATGTCCTATCATAGTCAAACCAAATTCCTAAGGTATATTATTTAATAATTCAAGCAAGCGAATATTGGAAATTGCAAATTTGCATTGGAATGTGCAAATTTTTTATTATGTACTTGTGTATATCGTTTTAAAGAAACAATTCATTTTACTGTTCTTCAAAATTGTAATTAAGATTTCAATGCTATGCTAATATCTGTACCTATCTGTTGTTAGTTTTGATTCCATACAAAGACAATTTATAAATTATAATTTCTTTTTTGTGACGCTATATGTCGCTTGAATTATATCAATGTATGTTATTTTGGAAAAAACTTTAAACGTATAAAAAAATAAAACAATTAAGAAGCATTTTGTGAAGTTGAAAAAAATGGTAAAAAAGAGAGGAATTGTGTGGAACTATTATAACAAGAAGATACTAGGATCTCAAGTGATAGCATTCTGTAAATTTTGTAATCAATCATACATTCAAAATGCTACTCGTATGGAACGACATATGGGAAGATGTTCAAAGTGTCCGGAAGATGTCAAACAACAGTTTATTCAAGTGGCACATTCAAAGAAACATAAAAGTGATAGCACTGACAATAAACTAAATGATCGATGGCCGAAACAAGAATCGCCAGTTGATTCAAGTATTACAGATACAAAATTAGAAGATTTTTATGAGTGGAATTATAAGAGTCAATCATATTTAGCTGACACAGTGCAACAACAGATTAATTTCATAAAACATAATAACACACAGAACTGGACAAGTCAAAATAATGTAACCAAGAGCAATGATACACATACAAAATGTACCAGCAGAAATTGGGAAAATCAAAATGATACGGGAACCATTGCGTCTGGTAATTTGAGAAATGTTTTAAGAACATTGAATTTTAGTTTTAAATTAAAGCTACGATGAATAAAATCTTAAGCTTTTATTGAATGTTTTATATAGCTGGAATTCAAGAGCAAACAAGTTCAGTTCAACAAACAAAATCATATAGTCCAAAGGAAATATTCCAATGGCCAGTTTCTGCGCAAACGTATGAACCCTCCTCTTTAAGGAACAAAATATATCAAGAACAATTGTTAGAAAAATGTGCCTTAAGAAGAGCTGCAGAATTGGATGTGCAGCGTAAAATGTTGGAACTAGAAAGATTTCAGTGGGAATATGAAAGAGACAAATTACAGACTGAAGTCCGCTGGGCTCATGAAACTCGTATGATGCAGTTTAAAGAAGAAAGAGAAAGGCAGTTAACTGAGCAGAGTAGAATAAGAACACCTTCCAGTATAATTTAATTGCAGATAACGCATTTTCCACATTGATAATCAATATTATTTACACAAAAAACATTTTTATAGTTGAAGTTAAGTTTATTTTTAAGACATATGTGAATATTACAAGATAATTGGGGAGACTATAAAAAGTATACTGTCAACTTAAAATGAAAATATATTTCTTACGTAAATAAGCGTGTTGCAAATGTTATGTCGTAATAATACATTAAAAATTGGCTGATTTTAACAAAGTACGAAGTTAAATTAGTGAATTTTTTAACATGAATAAATATACATATGTAATAACTTGTTCTTTCCTCTAATGCAGTAAATTGTAGATGTTTCTTATATTTTACATAAGAAAAGATGTAATAATGTTAATAATTAGTAGTTCCTTCTCTTTACAAGAGAAAAGAAATTAGTTACAAAGTATGTTTACATTTTTTCCGACAGCATTCTAGAGGCAACATTTTTCTTTTAACAGTAAAACACAACGAAGTCTAGCAATGACGACTTCTAACTCGCAGAGTAATAGATCAGTAGTAGGTGACGCTAAATACAATGTACAAGGCATACCACTTGGGAGACATTGCTATGTTTTTGGTTTAATCGTGAAGGAAATTTTAGCTCTCAACAAACATTTTCCTATGTCTGGGAGAAACATGATCAACAGCAACAGAAGTACGATCGAAGGTTGCTATTGTTCACTTTCTGCATTCCTTATGGAATATCAATCTTCCTTTTTGTTAAGGATTTTTTTGCCAAATTCTTCATACTGTAATGAATTTTATATTTCTAAGATGTTTCTCCTTAATAAGCATTTTAAGTTTTCAATACTGAAGCTTCATATTTTGCATTGATGTTACTGTTTCTTGCCATATATATTGTATAATAGTAAAATTCATAATTTTCTTCGATAATTCAACGTATAAAATTTATTACAGGGTCACCTTTTGCTGTTATTACTGTCCTGACAGAGTTAGTATACAGAGTTGTCTGTAACGCGGAAGAAGCCGACACTTTGGATGATAAAAAGGGAAATGTACATTTTCAATTGTACGCTTACTAATGATCGGGGATGGTGAAAAAATAATGCGAACCAAATACCATACAATATGATTTAATTGTACAGGAGAAACTTGTGTTTAAGAACACACTCGCAACTGCGTGTTCTTTTTATTTATCATATTC